GAGGTGATCAACGTGAATGCTCAGGTTCCACCTTAACACGCAGACATGTTGCTTCACCATGAGCAGAAACCTTTATATATACAGTCTATGGCAGAATATATATATATATATATGCAATTTTCGACAGATACAGCCCACTCAAAAATATATTGTTTTATATAAAATTAATTTTTATATATATATATATATGCAATTTTTGACAGATACAGCCCACTCAAAAATATATTGTTTTATATAAAATTAATTTATATATATATATATATATTAGCTGTACACTTTACGAATATAATAGTTTTTTATGGAAAACTTTACCATTCAATCTCGTCCAACTGATGTTGCTGCCGTCACTCCTCGGCTCTTGGTAGTTCAGGCATTTATCAAACCTGGCAACTCCGGGTTTCCTGGCAGCTGTCAATCAAAGTCCAGTGGCTCCGCCCCAAAGTGCCAGAAACTTTTCACGCGCGCGTAGACAGACTCCGCGAGGCTGATACTCCCGCGAGCGAGCAAGAGGGCTGTCTCTCTCGCGAGCGAGCGAGCGCAGAGCCGCTCGCGGGCGCAGAGCCGCTCGCGGGCGCAGAGCCGCTCGCGGGGGTTTAATCTGCGCGCGAGGGTCATTTTATGCGTGTGTAAAAGCACATTTTCCGCTCGTGAGTAGCTTGTTTTACGTGCTAGAATATTGACCCAAATCTGACTCCATAGTTACGTCATGACAAACGATGACGCAACGACGCATTACCAGTCGGCAGAGGTGTGGACTCGAGTCACATGACTTGGACTCGAGTCAGACTCGAGTCACACATTTTATGACTTGAGACTCGACTTGACAATATCACAAAAGACTTGCGACTCGACTTGGACTTGAACACCAATGACTCGGGACTTGACTTGGACTTGAGCCTTTTGACTTGAGGTGACTTGCTACTTTAATTCAGAGGTCTCCAACACGCCGATCGCGAGCTGCCGCTAGAAGAGCAGACTCCCGTCGGGGAAAGCAGCATCTTCAGCCGCTCCTACTCTTGCTGAGAATCCTTGCAGGCAGGGGCGGGTCTTTATTTAGCTGGGCCACCATGCGGCCAATCATATGCGAGGACACACTAGGATCATACCATTATGTGAAAGAAGGGTGGGGGCACAGCATGTGCAGAGCGACGGGGAGACGGGGAGCCGGATTTAAATGCAAGCGCGTCGGAAAAAGTCAAGAAATTAGCGAAAACCGAAAAAAGAAGCAGCATCTGGCTGCTTTTCAATGATATTGGAGAAAGCAAAGCTGAGTGCAGGATTTGTAAAATGAAAATAACCTTCAGAGCAGGGTAAACACTCAGGATTTATTGTCAGAGGTGGGAGAAGTTCAGACAATTAAAAAAAAGTTACAATCAGGGTTCCCGCGGGGTCTTAACAAGTCTTAAAAAGTCTTACATTTGATAATCAGAATTGAAGGCCTTAAAAAGGTCTTAAATATGATTCAGAAGGTCTTAAAAATTATCGGATTTGAAAGGTACTTCTATGTTGCGATAGCGTCTAAATGTGTTTTGGGGGAAATGTCCGGGCTGCAAAGTAACCAGTACGGTAATAGCCTTTCAAGTTCCCCCCAACAATTTGTATTGAATTAAATCAACATGGAACCAGTAATCACTAACTTTGTTTCCCCCGGCCCCTTGTTGGAGAACACCCAGCTAGTAACCTAGCAACCAAGCTACAGCTCATGTAGCCTATCTTCGAATCTACTTACAAATAAATATGGGGAAGTGTAAGTTCAACCGTATTTGGTTGGAAAACATCTAATTTAGTGCTTGGTTGAAACCAGTGGAGGGAACGTGTTTGAAGCCCGCTGCACCTTTTGCAAAATAAATTAGTGTTTGTTTTGCTAGTGGAGCGTTAGCTAGTGCAGCGTTAGCTAGTGCAGCAGCAGCTAATGCAGCGTTAGCTAGTGCAGCAGCAGCTAATGCAGCAGCTCCCGCAACAACACCGGGGGACCTCCGGGCTAAGTTTGGGTCTACGTCAACCCTAAAAGCGGAGGTGCTGTAGACGCTAAATACCGTAGCTAAACACCAATCATACAACAGCAACGATGAAATAGTGTAGCCAAGGCAGCAGAGCTCTGAATATAGCTCTTGTCACTCTCTCTCAGAGACACACGCACACACACACACACACACACACACACACACACACACACACACACACACACACACACACACACACACACACACACACACACACACACACACACACACACACACACACACACACACACACACACACACACACACACACACACGCACTAGGGCTGCTCGATTATGGCAATAATCAAGATTATGTTGGTCAATAATTAATATCACGATTATTAAATATGATTATTCATTGACTTTGAAAACATCCATTTATTGAACTTTAAAACAGATAATAATTTGAACAGTATCTTTTTAACTGTTGATTACCCTGAACGTATAATTCAACTGAAAAACCAATACAAAAATTAATTAAATAAATGATACATTACTAAAAAATTAATTAGATCAAATATGTTGTAGTGCACTGTCACAACCTAGCAAAGCAAAATAATCGTTTTTTACGATTATGTTGTTTTCGTAATTGTGGCAGGCCAAAATCGTAATTGCGATTAAAATATGATTAATTGCACAGCCCTAACACACACACACACACACACACACACACACACATACACACACTTTTTGTCTAACACGCTAACACAGTTCTGTACTGTTACGCTGTTGTGTTCAGTCACTGTTCTTATGTTGAACATGAATACATTTACTTTGTAAGTGATTATGGGACGTATTTCTTCTTTATATACATTTTCCTTCATACTTTATTGCCGTGAAATAGGTCTTAAATTCTATTCAAAGTGGTCTTAAAAAGGTGTTAAAAAGTCTTAAATTTGAGTTGGCGAAACCTGCAGGAACCCTGTACAATAAAAAGTCCTGCATTCAAAATGTTACAAGTAAAAGTACAAAAGTATTAGCATCAAAATATACTTAAAGTACCACCTGCAGAGGGATCTAGATTCAGGTGTTCTTTTCCCCATAGAGACCGCCTCGCTGCACATTATCCCTTGCATATAGATTGTGGGTCCCTTATAACATGTTGTACACAGTAGAAATAAACATTCTGGTTACCTCAACATCAGGGATCTTATCCATTAAACTCCTTCTGAATCAAACCGTCACGGTAGCCTTACCTTACTGATCCCTCTTAAATTAGAAAAACACACGTTACTTTACCAGCAGAGAGAAAATGGATTATTAAATTATTAATGTGACTAATAAAGAGCAATTTGATTATTAAGTATTATTCTGTTGATCGATGTCATTACATTTGGTGAAAAACACATGACTTGTTTATGACTCGTTTTGTCAAAGTTTAGGACTTGACTTGACTTGAACTTGCCCATCCTGACTTGAGACTTGACTTGGACTTGCAAAACAATGACTTGAGACTTGACTCGGACTTGAGCGCAAAGACTTGAGACTTGACTCGGACTTGCAAAACAATGACTTGGTCCCACCTCTGCCAGTCGGACTCTGGGCGGTGTGAAAAGAGCCGGAGCTAAACCGAAGAACTGGTTCTGAACCTGAAAAGCTCTAGCACGGAGCTTGAACCGGAGTTGCGTTGGTGTGAATGAGGTATTAGACAAAAAGTTTAAATTAATAACTCAAATAAAACTCCAAACATCTTTCATTGTGTTTCAAAGCTCTTTTAGTTTTAAACCTGATGTTTATAAGCTTCTTAGTTTTTGCAACGGTCTGTAAATATACACAACTTTATAATAAAATGCACAATTTTACCTTTTTCTAGACTAAACACAGGTATGATCCTAAATTAAACACATATGAGGTCATCATGAGGTTGTTAACATCGTAGTTTATCAGTGGATGTTTGCTGGAACTACTTTTTAGCAGCTTGTTTCCCGACGGACACACACAGCGTGACTCCGGTCTCAAGTCAGCACCGCTGCAGACTCGCTGTTTGAGGGCTTGATAGCCCACTCCCCCTCCACACCGCTCCACACTCGTTGCTTTGGAACAACCCTTAATATGGCGGACCCTCCGCGTGAACGCGCAAACGGAGGGGTAGGGTGTCGGGGGCGGTTTGGGAATGGGCCTGAATTTCACCCGCCAGAAATGTTCGCTTCTTCTTCTTCGGTGTAAATTGTCCGTTGGCAAACCAGTTGATTTCTTCTTCTCTTGGTTTTTTGGCGGATTGCAAACAACTTCAAGGTGCATACCGCCACCTACTGTACATGAGTGTGAATCATATCATTCCATCTCTTAACTCATCGACGTATCTATGATCTAATCCAAAAATAAATAAATAAAAAACATAATAAATAAAACAAAACAACAATCTATGATCTTTCCTGACCTAATGTTAGATAATTGTACCTACCCCAGTTTCACTAAAGGTAAACAGTGCCTTTCTGGTAGCTCTTTCTCCCTCTCCTTTTGTTCCCAAAATACCAACCACACTCCATTCCCTCTCTGCCTCTAAAACGTTATCATTACATTTTTCTCTTTCAGCTTTATAGATGTTCCACATTTTCTTTAACTCCACAGTTCCTACACTTGTCACTGTTACTTTTCCCCATGACATGCAGCGTACCATTCAATGCTGTGTGATTTATTCTGAGTCTAGCTATCATCATTTCCTCCCTTCTGTTTCTTTCTTTATAAATATTTGTCTGCTGGCATACCAGCAGACCAGCATTTATCTATCACCAGCTTATGTTAGTATTAAATATACAATGTATTCTGGTAACTATCAAAAATAAAGACATTGTATAGTGTTCATAACAGTATTTTTATTTAATAAATTATACTTAATACAATAATATTACAAAAAAAAAACCTACATTTAAATAAATATATCATCTAAAATAGATGCATTTGATTTAAAAATAACAAATATAATTCAAAATGTAAACAGCAACAAAGAAATTATAAACATTTTTTTTCTTTTTCTTGTATTAATATCCATTATCTTCTCTGTTATGTATCTTCCGGTCTTTGCCAATCTGGCCAGCATTTCTTGGTCTTCCACGTCTTTCTCGTACATCCACTGCTTGAAGCAAACTGAAAATAAGAAACAACAATGTTTTAACAAATCGTATTCAATTATCTGATGATAGAACTGCAAACAGAATAGCTGTAACTTTAACAAAATAAATAACTCAGTTTCCTCTAATCATTAACCCATGTTTGTATCATTGAGTTAACTGTGTGTTACTGCTAGCATATATAATATATACCTGACGCGGAAACGTTACTCGTGGATGGGGCTACAGAGCTACTAGAAAGACAGTCGAACCCGGTGCATTCCTCCGTCTGAATGTGGTGCACTTTTGCTAAATGTTTAGACAAATAGCTCGTGTTACCGCCCTTACATGCTAAATTCTTATTGCACTTTTGGCAACAAGCATTTTCCACCTCAAGACCAAGCCCCCAGGAAGTGTGCCGGACTCTGAGGAAAATATTCGTTGTGTCCAAACGGCGGTACTACAATTTCCTTATCAGTCTGCAGGGTATATGCAGGGTATATGCAGGAATCCTGAAGTCAAATTTAATACCTTTCAAGACCTTTTTTAAGACCCTTTCCATACATTTTAAGACCTCATCGCAACTTCGAGTTCTAACCGGTTACATTGGCGACACACTTTACCTGACATTTACTATATTGATTGTAAGATAGCACAACTAAACAGAGTGCAGACAGACTACTGAAGCCTCCTCTCCACATGAACTTCAACCTCTCTGTGAAGGTCAGGTTTAATGCAGTATGCTGCTTTGTTGCTTCTGTACTCTGTGCTCTTTCATTCCAGTAAAACTCCTCAGAAACCATTAGAAACCAGTATTTGACCAATAAACAAAACAATTGACAAAACTTTGAACTATATTAAACTTTGGTGAGCTTCAGCGGGGTAATGCCATATAGGAGCTCCCTCACAAATACCCAGGGGTTAAATTGGGCTGGGGCTGTCCCGGCACATAGGACGATGCTCTGACGTCATCACCCTCACACATTTGTCATATGTTTACAAAAAACGATATATATGTTAAGACTTTTCTCGTTCTTAATATAGACTATATTTAGGGTCGATATGTGTTGACCTTACTTTAAAATAGCAGATCTCTGTCACCGGATATAGTTTGGCTTAGACCCCGGCCCCACGAGGACGCATACAGTAAAACGCATACGCAAACGCAAAACAGTCTTCCGTTCACACGCATTCGACTCATTAACGTGTCCGTTCACACTAGACCGCTGGAAATGCTGGAAACGCTGTAGTACATATGCCAGGCCTGTAAGTGGCGCTGCTGCCGCCACAAAATACACCAAAAGCAGCGAAGAAGACCCCGGAGCATGGTTGTCCTTCTGTTTATGCTCCGCGGTGGACGCATGGATGTATGGACGGCGTGTTCTCCTGCTGTATATCTCTCAGGTAGTCCACCAGCAGATAAACCCCCCCCCACAGAGCGGAGCAAGGCAACGAAACTTAAAATAAGAAGCAGCATTTTATGGCACACTATGCATGGGGCCACCTTGAGGGGGTTTCCCGACATGTTGTTTCAGTAAATTAAAGGGTGTTTCATGTTGTCGTTGCTGTGGACCTTCTTAATACCTTGGAAAATGCCGTTTAATACTTTTTAATAGCCTTAATTTTCGCTAAATTGATTTATCAACTTTTAATACTTTTTAAGATCCCGCGGACACCCTGGTCTGTGACGTCGACCGGCCCAGAAATACTTTTTCCCATTGACTAACATTGGGAAAGAGACGTCTGTAAATCGGTGGATAATTTTTTTGAAACTAAATAAACTACCCAGTATGAACTATTGTATAGCCCTAGAATCATTAAGTCCTTAAAGTTGTAAAATGCACTAAAAGCCGAATCTAGATTTATTCTCTCTCTCTCTATTCTTTCTAGTGAGCCGAGAGTGTGTGCTCGGGGGGCGGGGCTTAAGGGGCGCATGCTCTGTGAGCGCACAAACGGGTTCTTCTGCTCTGACAGCCAGGCATGACGGGTAATCGGTGACGTTTTGCTCTCTCAAAAGTTGGGCCATTTTGACTTCATGCGCCAATGAGCAACTCTCATAGGAAAGAACGAGGCCCCTCCACCGACGCTGTATCCAGTTCCTATTATACATCCATGCTCAAGACGGGTAACATAACTACCCTCGGGGCGCTTAGTTCTCTCCGCCATGCGTTTGTGTGCGCACGCGTGTGTGTGTGTGTATGTGTTGCATGCATGTAGCAGGTTCTGTGTGTAAACTGCCCCACCCCCTCGCACACCGACAGGGGAGAGAGATCTCTCGTCTGGATTGGAAAGATCGAAAATAAATCATAGACGCACTTTGTAGTCTTATTGCATATTAGAAACGGAGTTGGCGACAGTAAGACTGCGATATAATGTTTATGTAGATATAATACATATGACATCTATTTTTTAAATGTCTCCAGTACCGATAAAAAGATCGATAACGTTGGACGTTAACGGTACCACGGTCTTTAATAATTCAGCCCCGGGGCCCGTTAATACTGGGGCTCGGTACCCATCCCTAGTTTTAATTATTACATCATCAATATTACATTTCAAATAACCAAGTACTTGGTATCTCACAAAGCGCAAGTGGCTAACCCCCTGACCCCACCGGAAGCGTCTGCGCTGCGGCTGCGCCGCGCTGCGATCTCCTCCTGCGTCATAACCCACCAGGCGCGTTTCAAAACGTTGCGGAAGCGGAGCGTCGTGTGTGCAGCCTCGCAGTTGTTGGATGAACGTTCCACTTCCTGCCTGCGTTGCGCCGCGTCAAAAATAGGATTCATCCTATATTTTAGAAATTCCTTGCGGCGAGGAGCTTCTGGGACGCTTCGAGCCGCGGCGCAGCGGGTCTGGTGGAATAGCACCCATTGACTAGAGTGGCCACAATCGCTAAAAACGCCGCAGCGCAGCGCAGACGCTCCTAGTGGGATTAGAGGGTAATGCTGCCAAGAACATACCTGGTGATGATGATGATGGTGGCTCTTCGCTGCAGGATCTGGTCGATGTCCTCCTAGCAGAAGCGATTGCCTTCGTCGTTCTCGTCCATGATGGCGGCGTAGGCTCCTTTCCTCAGCAGGTCCTCGATCTCCTTCTTGGAGAACTGCTGGACCAGCTAAAGGCGACGCAGAGAGACATTTACACAAGTGGATTTAGAAAACTCTTATTGAAAATAAACTAAGCGTACTGCAACAGCGACTGACCCAAAAATGACTTGACATCTAGAAATATGACAGATTTTCTTTTTCTCACCCCGTTGTTGTTGCCTTCTTTGTTCCCACTCATGCTCTGCAGGACGGCACGGTCCAGCCCGAGCTTCAGACTAGCTTTATCCAGCATTTCACTCTCATAGTTTCTAGTGATCAGACGGTACACCTTCACCGCCTTAGACTGGCCAAAACGATGACGCCGAGCTTGAGCCTGAAATAAAAAATTAAAAGAGGGGTCAAAAGAGCATCATGTGCAGCTGCTGTTCAACGTTTTTAAGCATTTAATGGGAAAATAATATACACTTAAAGAACCGAGGGAATAAACGGAAAGACTGTTGTTGTTGTTGTTGTAGCCCTATTGAACTATCTTTAGGACAGACAGAGCAGATATATATATCGTACCTGCAGGTCATTTTGAGGGTTCCAGTCAGAGTCGAATATCACACAGGTGTCCGCAGCAGTGAGGTTCACAAGTTCTTGATCAGGTGTTTGATGTGGGCTGGCATGATCCTTTCTGCAGCGATAAATAAAGAAAACAAAGAAGACATTATTAATAATAGTAATGATGGTAACAACAATAATATTAGTATAACTATTTATATAGCACTTACACAATAATTGCAAAGTGATTTTCACAACAAAAATAAAGAACAAAACAATATCAACAATAAAAAAAACTAATGATTATAGGAATGTTAAGATACAAATAAATGATAAACATTCTAAGAGGCCGACTACAAAAGCTAGACTCAATGGCTCTTGATGACATCAATGAGCAGTCCCAAAACATGCTGCTGTATAAAAATAAATATGTCCAGATTTCTTCTATTTAGTGTTGGATGATTTGTTGTATTGATTGCTGATGGATGTTAAGATATGTTTTACAATTATAACATAAAAAAGTTATTGTAATCAAAAAGTTTACAAATCGTAGTTTTAATAAAATGACTAGCAATATAGGATTTATTCAACAGCGGTAAAGCATTAAGTTGCTAAATTAAGTACACTGAACTGTAAAACTTACCACTATTTAGGAAATGACCTGATCAGGAGGGTTGACTAGTAGGACAGCAAAGAGGTGGTGTCCTGTACAACCATTGGTAGATGTTACACCTGAAAGAAAGATAAGGAAATAAGACAACACAGGAGGACAAACATCTTCTTAAGTAAAAGACGAAATCATGTCAAGCTTTACATCTTTCAGTCTTTACAATGCACTGTTGGAAATTACATTCCAAAGGCTAAATTCAAACTCAATACCATAAATAACTGGGTACCAAAGTGCTTTACCTGATAGAACACGTTCCACACGGAGCAGCAACTATCCGGCTGGGCCTTTTGCTGCATATCATCTCCTCCCTCTCCACTGTTTCCAGTAGATATCTACTGCCTCTGTCCAATAAAACTGAAATGCCCCAAAACAATCATATTTAAAAAGTTAAAAACAATAACTTGCTTTTGGCATTCAAATGTATTAGAATCTCACCTTTTTTCTGGATGTCAGGAAGGCCAGGAAGTCGTTCCCTTCATGTCCGCAACCAGTCATAGGAGTTCAAATGCAAAGCCTGAACGATGACAAGAGCGAGACTTACATTTTACAAGATAAGTAATACCAGAGCAGTGTTTAGGACATGCAGAGAACAGATCAAATCCCCTGACAGACTCACACACTTTGGTGATGTCCTCATCTGATAATGATGTTTCATTTTTAGCAGCAAAGTAACATTACTCAAGGTATATGTTGGACCCAACTCATGTACAGTATGTTTTGCATCTCCTCAACAATGGTCTGTATAGTTGAGTAGAAACAAACTGTCGCTACAGTTTCAGGTAGATTAACAAAGAAAAGTTTGCAATGAAGCACAAAACCCCTCTTTGTATTAAGCTAGCTGCCACAGAAAGTACAGCTTAACATGCTAACCTGGTAGAGTTAGCTAACGTTAGCTAACTTCATGTCCAACTAAAAACCTCTAACGTGCATTACATTGACGATTTTAAACACAACTTAACTCTTTCAACTTGTAAAATAACGTTAATTTAACATACCCTTAAATAACTACATCACGTTTTTCAGGGGCAACACAAACTGCAGAAAACGTTAGCTGCCAACTGTTGTTAGCTAAGACAGCTAGCTCGTAACAATAGCCTCCTAGCAAACTTAAGGTTACGTTAACATTAACTTAACGTTGTAAGGAAGCAAAACGAACCTTCGAGACATATTTTACTCTCAGACTGGGTGTAATTGTGTAGCGTTGCTTACCTCCAGAAGGACTTTTAGCTGTTTCCCAGTAGAGACTAGAGAGAGCTGTCAGAGCGGTTGCTCTCAGAAGAGCAGCATTGGGCGGACCAGGGGCCTCATTAAGGCCCATTCCCAAACCGCCCCCTACACCCTACCCCTACCCCTACCCCTACACCCTACCCCTACACCCTACCCCTCCGTTTGCGCGTTCACGCGAAGGGTCCGCCATATTGAGGGCTGGTCCAAAGCAATCAGGGCGGAGGCGTAGTGGGTTATAAAAGCCTCCGACAGCGAGTTTGCATGGATGCAGGCTTGATAATCTCACTCCACAGGTGTGCAACCGTTTTTCGGGCATGGAGGAAACAACGTCATACAAATGTGAGTTCCATGTGGTTATTTTTTTAAACGATAAATAATACGTTGCCTTAACTAAAACATGCCTTTGTGAACATGTATTTATAAATCTACACGTGTTAATTTGATTTGCCAAGATCACATTAGATTTTTATTTTGAAGATGTACAAATCTAAATCGGAATCAAACTACACACGTGTCAATTCATGTATCCATTCACTTACGAAATCGGTTTAAATTTAAGTGTGATTTGTAATTTCAGGGACTGTGGTAAAAACCAAGGCACTTATTGCATTAAGGACAAGGACGACCTGTTTTGCAAAACACGCAATGCTGCCAAAGAAGCATGGGAGTGAGTTATGCACTCAATTCATATTTTGTGCAATGAAAGTAATGAATGTGCACAGTGGGTCATTGCCTTAACACCAATATATATTGTTTAAATATTCTATGATAACAGGTCAATCATTAAGGAACTGGACCTTGGGCAACATGTGTCTCACAAACAGGCCTCCAAGAAATGGGAGAACCTAAAAAAGAAATACAAGGTAAATGGTGTATTGTTATTGTAAAACATGTTTGTTTTTGAAAAAGCTGAACAAAGATTTCTAACATGCATTTTTTGCAATAGGAACTTAAAAGGCCAAGGACTGGAACAGGGATTGATCAGGGGGAAGAAACCCCTGCAACATGGCCCTCCTTCATGGCCATGGATGAGGCCATAGGTGCAAGGCCTTCAATTAGTCCTCCTGTCCTTGTTGCCTCAGCCTTGGCAAACCCCACAATCCTCTTCGATCCGGAGGCTGCTTCCTGCTCCTCTTCCTTCCCCCCCCCAAATGTGGCTGATGATCCAGACCCCTCACCACCCTCATCACTGTCTGAGGCTGGAACCACCCAGCAGCCCCCCCCCCCAAAAAAAGAAAAGGTGCTATGGGAGTGCTGGAGTGCCTAGAACGCGAGGCAGAAAAAGAGGACGAACGCCACAGACAAATAATGCAGCACTCAGACAAATTTCTAACCCTGTTCGAAAAAATGGTCGACAAAATGTGATTTATTTTTTTTCCCCCACCATTGGCCATTTCTATGTTTGATTATTGATGTTACTTAAAAGACTTGTTTTTGTTCGCTTGTATTATTTATTTGGAAGACAATAAACCTAATTTAACGTACTGTCCTTCATGTCTTCAATATTCTATAGTAAATATAGGTAGACGGGTGATGAAGGTGACATTGCGTTTGCTTGATTGTTAGATGGCTACATTGTTCTGTGTGGGTTTCATAATGTAGAAGGAAAAGTTTTGCACAAAGTAATGTTGTGCACGGAACTAAAGTGTTTTTTCCAAAGTCTGAAGATTAACCCTGAATATCAGCATTTTAAATAAAGATATGTCTGTGCGCTTCATAGGTATAAGGCATTAAAATATACATGACATTTACGGTCTTAATTGCTCATGTCAAACCATTTGCAGAGTTTCACTCAAAAACAAAAGTGATTGTATTAGAAGACCTGTGTTCATTTTCTGAACCTTTGCTCAGTGCTCGTGATTGAATGATCCAAGAGGTAAGGACATTTGTCTCCAATTTGGGATTATGCAGAAAGACAATTCAGGAAAACCAAGTTTGAAATCAACGGTGCACAGGTTTATTTTATTTCACCTCTTTTCTCTAAAGTGAGAAGTGGAGCTCACTAAAACAAACAAAATTAATCAGGTATGTGTGCACATCATTTCAAAAACACAAGTTAACAGACAACCACGTTTTTAAAAAACAAAACAAAGTTCATTCGATGTAATCGTGCTCTCTGGTGTGGTGCCATTTTGACAGGAGCAGAGAGTTGTGCAGCAATCCTGTTCCTTAGGTGGTGTCCAGGACTTTCCTGTCCACATGCTGCGGCAGGGGGAGGACTCTGGTCCCCATCTTCAGGGGGGAAGGCTTCAGCATCCTCAAGGACATCGTTCATGTCTATGCACAGAAATGCACAACATGCAATGATGTCAGGGGCAAAGCTTGGACTGACCTCCAACGCTTTGAACACACACACACACACACACACACACACACACACACACACACACACACACACACACACACACACAATTCTGAGACCAAGTCAAATTAACCTTTCCTTTTTTATTCTATAAACTACTGACAACATTTCTCTGTGTTGGAATTCTACATACACTATACAGATATACACGTATAGCTTATAAGGAAAGAATAAATGAATGTATATCACAATATATCTAAATATCTATTTGTATTACACATACAAAGTTCATTGGCTACTATATAAGAAATAAAGTGAAGATAATTGTTGTATTAGCAATATTGAAATGTTTACCTGCCACTGGCACATCGCTAAAATGCGCCTCAACCTTCTGCGCCTTCTGTTGGATCTTGCCATTGCACCCGCTAACAGGCGACGGATAGCAACGCAGGTCAATGCAGCCGACAGATGGAGATGTGAGTTGGACACCATGACGTCCGTTTCCGTTTCCTGCGGAGAGAGGGGAGGCCGTCCCAAAGCTTGCCGCTGTATTTTTACCCTTAACCCTTAATGGAGGGAACTTCATTCAGCTGTGAGTGTGCCTACAGACGGAGTTCACTCCGTCACGGAGGGGGAGGGTCGAGGGAGTGGTTTGGGATTGGGCCTCATAAAGCGATATAGAGAGGCGAAGTCACGCCCATCTACTTTCGGTCCATGGGACCCCGGAAGCGAACAATTATACATTGAATTCAATGGAGAGAGAAAACTTATCTTTTGATCCCGTTTTAATTGTGCCACGAACTACACATATGTTTGTCAATCTTAAACAATCATTTCCATGTCAAAAAAGTCACATTTTGTCGTAAAACTGTTGAAATATAAGACTATGAAAAATACGCAACGAGAAAGACTACAAATCCCATTCTGGGTCGCGTAAGTGATGTCACAGGCGATAATGCTCCAAGTGGTTGGTTTACTTTTACAAGATGCCTGTGTGCTTTGTACCAGGTTGTAATCACAAAAGTGATCATACCACTTGCTCGTTCTATCGCTTCCCGTCTGATGAAAGGACCAGGAGTCGCTGGATCAGACATATCAGGTAATATCATAGGTAATATACATGTTGTGCATGGAACATAGTCAAGTTAGCTACCTAGCTAGTAGCGACGAGTAGCGAGCACGTTAGTTAGCATTACATTACTTAGCCTTGTCATTTTTAGTAGCCTTACCATGAAGTTATTATTTTATTACATGAAGTAAACCAAAATGTTAAACAGTAACCAAACATGATGGTAAGTATTTCGTGAAACTTTTGAAGAGTAGCCTACTGCGCCCTCCACCGGGTGCAGATTTACAAATCTCAACCTGTCGTTCAATGGACAGCTTCCCCCCCCATCTATGTATATACTCGCATTTTAGACTCTGTTACTAACTGTATATCTGTAGACTTGGTATGTCTTAAATGTCCGGTTAGGATGTATTAGAACGAAATCTAAAATGAAAATTGTAAATAAGCAATCTGTATGTAAAAAAACACCTGTATGTAAATTGTAAATAAGCCATCTGTATGTCAAATATGTCTTATATGTCTTAAATGATATGATGAATTGGAAATGGGGGACCCTGATATAAACAAGACGAAAGTCTTTCTCTGGTCTGCATCCCCTTAACAATTGTATGTTTTGAGCTGTACTGTACTGTACCCAATATACAAGCTGTTAATAAACTTTTCAATCAATCAATCAATCAATCAATCAATCAATCAATGCTAAGGAAGCAGTTCAGGGAGAGTCGAAGGCAGGCATGGAGCTTTGCATGACATTCTTCTGGACGTGTTTCATTGTGATGACAGTGAGGGTGAGTCAATCTGTTTGTTGGAAAGACAGTCGTTGTGTGCTTATTGAGAGAAAATAGTTAGAAGAGATAATTATTCAAAGTGTTGTTACTTTAAAGTGTTGTTACTGACCTTTTTCTCTTTTATTTTCTTTACCTCACCTGTAACTGCTGAGACGTTGAGGAACATGCACACTGACCTGCTCTGGCAACCTGATTTCCACTGTACGTAATAGTATTTGGTTATGGTATATTATTTATATACATCAAAGGCACAATGCACCCCCCAGAGACACACATGTATTGAGTGTGCTATTTTGCATAGGTCATGTGAAATCATCTTTACATACTAGAAAACTGTAGGAGCGGCAACTTGTTTTGAAATAGAATTTTTAATATCCGATAATAAAGTTGATCTGTTTTCTTTATTCTTCTCTCTTCCCAGCTCCATCCATCACCATTCTCTGTTCCTGCAGGTCCTGCTTGCTAATCAATGCTCATATGTTACACAATTACAAATAAAGTCAATGTATTGTATGACATGAAGTTGTGCTTCATTCGGAGTCAATAATAAATTCATTCTGCCTTCAACTGCACAATGATTGTGGACTGCACCGACATCCATGTAGCTGCCCCCCAGTAAGATGAACCAAGCAAAGAGGGTCACCATCATGCCCAAGGACATCCAGCTGGCCCGCCGCATCCGCGGAGAGAGGGCTTAGACTGACCTGAGACCAGCACACCCAAACACAACGGCTCTTTTAAGAGCCACCTACAGTTTCAAAGAGTTGCAATCCTACGTTATTATAATGATTAAACTAGTTCATGTATCACTTAGTTTACTGAACCGTGATGAATGAAAGAAATTAGTGAGGTAGTGGTTTACTGAAGTTACAAAGACATTAATATATGAGTAACAGGTCAGTG